GCGACTCCACTGATATATCTTTGACCGGAACGTGCGGAAGGGCTGCATCTAAACCATTGCTTCCATCACATCCCGACTTTGATATTACGGTGGTGCACATAAGTTGGGACAACGTTTCCTTAGAGTATCGGGGCCTTGTTTATCATGCTGCTCAGAGTTCTGCCTGTGCCTCTTTTTTGCAACGCGCAATCAATTTACACCAAGAATCATCCCATTCTGGTCCTCTCATCTTGCCACCCGAGTTCTCGTCCCTTGTGATATTCTTCTGTTTACTGTGTTTTGGCTCTCTCCTGCCACATTTCATGGCTACCAACCTCATCTGATGGCAAATCGCACTTAGGCGCCTCAGGCCCACCGTAACCTAAAACCTTGCCCACCTCCTACTTACCAAGGATTCCATCTGCAAGTATGGGATGATCAGTGAACCTGTTTGTGTGGTGGCACGGTCACGAGAATGCTGCTTTCGGATACTGCCAACAGCATTCAGGATTTCAATAGATGATCTATGATTCCCTGAGCACTATGCTTTTTATGGGGCTCAAGAACTCTGAAGAGTACAAGCGCGCGCGATGAAGCATGTCGCCAAGCAGACCTTCAAAGACCATGTGTGTCGAAACCGCCATAAATTTTAGTGGTGTAATCTATTTCTTCCAATTCAGAATAGCGAAATCCCTTTCCCTCGACCTACGCGGGTTGCTGTCCACCTATGCATTGTTGGGTGACTTGGTAGATATTGAACAAGTCCGTAGAAAAGCTGTCACCAACGTCCAATCTCAGCTCGGAGAGACACCTGCTTTCCACGTTTAAATCGGCTTCTTACCATAACTATGACCCAACCGGGCGTGTTGAGGCACCTTATCCATATTCTCTGATGCCACTGACCAACTTATCACATCAGCAATCGATCACACAACGTTTTGGTCAGTAACAATACTCCTTGCGGAAGTCGCCACATGTCAGATGGAGTCCAAGTACTTCGCGCGTCTCACTGGACGAAAGGAGTATTTATTTAGACCAGATAATGACACGGGTTTCTGCAGGAGACGAAGGATGGGTTGTGGACTACGTTTTGGGCTGGAGATTGGTAGTCGCTTGGTCGTGAGTCTGTTACATGTAACTGGTTTAAGGACAAGTGGATGTGATCTAGACTAGCCCACTACTCCATCGGCGGTATGACAGACAGTACAGAGTGGCATCTCCCATTTGTTGAGGCGCGTTCCAATCCCAGTACGAATGCCTCCTCTCTGGCAAATCCGAAAGCGGTTCCAGGACATGTGTTACCATTTCAAGACGTTCGTTACTCACGGCTCTCCATAAACTCGAATTTCGATCTCAGTCCGTTGAAGGCGTTATAAACAATATGCTGTTCCTCTCAGGCTCTCCGATTCGTGATTTCCCCTACATCTCTGCCATGGAAGCGGGACGCCCCCACCACCAATTCGAGCATCATCTCATATGCCTCTACACGAGCCTATTGCGCTCGGCATGACACTTGGCGTGGAACTCGCGCAAGAACAATTAGATCTGCACCGCTGGGCAGCTGAATTAAGGACTGACGACTTGGTGATGCCTTGTATACGCGGAGGCGGAGGGTGGTTTGGTGAAATGTGGCGTGGAAATGCGGCCCACCAAGTCGATAGAGGCACTATGGCAGTGGAACAATTAAGAATGGACGCCTGGAGGAGTTCCGCTGGGTCCGAAAGGCGTAGTGAGATTTATGGTTCGTGCCCAGGGGCTATTATATCAGAGATAATAGCCGAGGGGGAGGTCATGGTGACATCGGAACCAATTCGCTCACTTGATCTTTCCTCAACAAGCTGCCCGGAACGTTCCTTAGGGAATGCGAAGGGGCGTCGCGTACTATCGTGCAACGACGAAGTCATAACAGAGAATCCAATTTATGGTAGTGAAAACGACAAAGTATTCTTTTTCAACTATGTGAAGGGGTATTTCCTCTGCCTCCGGTGCGCACCTTCCATTTCTCGACAACGGTGAGCGTGACGTATCTGGGTTGCCTCTTGTTTTATGGAAGAATGCCTTCATGGGCGACAATGCTCCTGGGTTGGTTCGACTCTGTAATTCCTGTCCATTCTGATATGTGAGTGAAACATATTGACATTGCGCGTATTTTAAGGATGTGATGTCATTTTCGGATAGAATTGCGATTCATTCAAGCTCCGAGAGAAGCTCAAGAGGGAATGCGCGTGATCCCAATTTCGGAACAGTGATCCAACTATCGAACCTTTATCGATCGCTGTTTCCTTTCACCCCATCCTCATCACCTTTTTACCAACTATATGGCCATCTCTCTGATCCTGTCCGGGTCTTCACCGTTTCCAGCGATTGTTCTGGACACAATTCCGTTGAGTGAGAATTTAGTCAATGCTCGAACGGTCATGGAAGCTGTTCGCAATGGTGTTGTGAAATATGTGGCGCTTCTCCACCGATGGCCGTTATGCAGCCCTCGGTTTTGGTAATGGTATTATCGAGGGAAACGCCAGCCCCTAGACATGGTAGGCCCACTGGCCTTCTCCCTACTGGAACGCTAGCGTCGTATCATGGATATTTGTCGTACGAGCCCCACGGAAGATTGACAAGCCTTGGTACGATGTCAACACGTCTACACAACCCTTACATCTGCTTCAGACAATCCGCACGTCTAGCTCCTCGGTTCTCCTCCTTCCGGCCCCTCCATTCCATCCTTCCGCTCAAATTCTTTGTTAGCCATCCCTCATCACCGCACGGTTGGGATTTCTCCCAGTTTACAGAGATCCGAGGTTGCGCGTCATCGTGTTACGAACCTCAGTTCTTGGATTATGAATCCCAGTCTCCATCCCTTGATCGTATCTCATAATATTTCGATCCCATATCGACCCGACTTACTCCCCCTGGCTGGAGGTGACGCGACAGACCTGCATCATTCTGAAGTGAACGCAGAGCATGACTCAAATGGGTCCTAGATCAAGCACACATGAAGACCTCAGCGTCTATTCCGGAAGAGTCCCGCTATTGTGCACCGGAAACGTGACTGAGGAGCTACCAATATGGTTCAACTGCAGAACAGAATTCTCTGGCCGCCCGTGGTAATCTTTGGGTGTGGTGTCAACCGTCTGAGAGCTTGGTCTCGTTTTCGAGCGCCATTTGATGCTACGAATCCCTACTGCCTCCTGTCCAGCAAGGATGGGAGGGATTCCAAGGCCGGATGATGACTCCAATTGTTTTCGACATGAATTAAGTCGTCTAGGATGTCCGCGGTCGTTATCACCCTTAGCCATGGTGTGGTCCCCGTGAGTCTTGGTACTTCCCGAATGGCCCCGTTCCTGCTGAAACACTGATGTCAGGGCCTTGGTACGGCAACATGACGCTCATACCGATGGCCCGCACGTTCAACTCCTCCCCTCTCCTTCTTACCCTTCCACTCTATCCTTCCACCCGAATTTCTCGCTAGCCATTCCTCGTTGTCGTGCGCCTGGGTTTCCTCCTGGTGCATGGAATTTTTGGCGCTTTCGATGGAGACAGCGCTTTCACTTACAACGGAATCGGGCAAGCTCATTGCAGGTTACAGCGTTACCAATGTCAGTTCTTTGGGTTATGAATCGCACAGTCCTCCTCATCACTTGCTTATATCTCCCCCTGGCCTTGTATCCCTCAACTCGATTTTCCCTGGTAATACAGCAGACATGCACCTCTCCAAACCGGACACACGACTCAGATGCGTCCCATTTCACGACCTCCCACCAAGTACACACGAAGACTTCGGTGTCTATTCATCTGGTACAGGGAGAATCCCATTTCTCTGAATGGGACACATAGGCGAGGGGTACCAACATAGTTTAGCGGTAGAACAGAGTCTACTATCTCCGCACGGTATCACTTCAGGGTGGGTTGCGTCACCCATACAGGAGCCTTGTGTGGCGATTGAGTGCCGTTTTATGCTAAAATCACGAATATCTATCACCTCCGGTCCAGCAAAGGACGGGACTCGACTTCTGCTCCAAGGCCGGATGACGGTTCCAATTGCCGTCGAAATTAGCAAGTCGTTTAGGGTTATATATCGTCCTCCAATTTGTATATCGCTGCGCTTGACATTTTATAATATTAATGATAGCGAGGTAAACGCTGGTGAAGGGGAACAACATCCTCCAGCCCTCGAGTCGAACAACGAAGCAGCACCACCCCGAATAAGGATCTGGATGCAATAGCATAGCTCGCATATGGTACTGGAGCCTGGTTGTGCGGTAGGATCCATTGATGAGTTCTGAACGTCTCGCGACCTAATCAATTCTATAGAGGAACCTTGGGTTCGCTCCGGCCATCCCCGGCCATAGGACTTAGAAAGTACTGCATCCCGTTTGATCTGCGAAGTCAAGCTGAGTACCGGTTGGTTAGTACTATGGTGGGGGACTACACGGGAACCCTAACTGCTGTGGTTTTTTTTTCTCTTTCTTTCTTTCTTCCAGTTCCAGGGATCGGTGAATGCCCCCTTGATGTCCCATATTCCTTTTCGTTCAAACACACGTACCACACACACCAGCTCGCACGACACGGCTTCATTACCGTGAAATTAATATTATGTAATGTACAAAATAGTGCGGAAAGAACGGGAAGGTTGCAATAACGAGTACCCTGAGATGACAACAACATACTGTCTGGCTCGTGATTGGGATCGAAAGCGAATCAAGGGGAAGGTGGCAGGTAGTACCTCAACGTCTAACGATGAAGGTAAAAGTCCCCCATTCCGATACGCCCAACAACAAAAGCAGCAGTTAGAGCACCAAATTGTTTCCTAGCACTCTCGCGCTGAAGCTCAGTGCCGCATCTAAATTCCCCCGCAACAAACCTCGACTAATGCCACAAAGATGAGCAGTCCAGCGCTCATGGCGCAAGTAATTCCTTGTAACACATCGGATCTTGCCCGCGATGATGTCAGTGTTGACTCGAGTGTTCTCAAAACTGGGAAAGATTAAACGGATGATGGTGTTGGAGGGCGGAGTTGAGGAATGGAAGAGGTGGTGATAATTGTAGGCGGGATTGGGACGACGAAGAATAAGGCTAGAATTCACGGTAACAAAAGTTGGGCTCGAGTCCGGGGAATGGGTGATGGTGAGTTCAATCGGGTCAATGATGCTGAGCTGGATCGGGAACAATCCGTTGATATATCAACGGCTTGAATCTCTCCCAGCCATCGTTTTCCATCAAAAATTCGAAGAGTTTGCCATAGGCACATGGCTTGTGGATTCCGCTGCATCCAGGATAACGCGCCGCCGCACTCGGAGAAAAAAGAGTGAATGAAATGCCAATTTTGGCGCCCACTGTAACCTCAAGTGTGAAACCCAGTACGATGGAATGCATCACCTCAAAACAAATGCTTCTGTGAGACTGGTGACGGTTTGATCGTTCTGGGGATTAAGGGTGCTGCTGATGTGAAGAACACGGTCCGGAATGTCCTCGAAGATTTGCACACTTACGGTTTCCTGAGCGAAACGGGCTGGCCGTTCGTTAGCATTATCGAGTTTCATTTGCCCTCCTTGAAGCTCACATTCCTTCGTCATCCCGCTGACTATGCTCGGAGCCCGAGGCAAATCCAGAGTCAACAGTAACTAGTATCAAGAATACTCTCTTTCGGATCTAGGCAGCATTCGAGTGAATGGTTTCCGCTCCGAAGGGCAGTGTTTCGATGGTGCAATCTTGGAGCACCAAGGTAGAGACGCCAAATGTTTGGGAAGAGCAGGACTCCACATGTTTGGAAGACTTGGGGGGAATCAGCAGGACATGAACACTAGGAAGGGAAGGAGCTGGCAAGGAAGCCGATCGTGATGCGCTGATGTGACGGCCTTCGGAGGGTTCATAACCCGATCGAGATATCGAAGCGCATGACTGAAAAAATTATGCATCGGTTCGCGTTACCAAAACACAACATCAAGATCCTAGGCCCCCACACGAAGAAGACATTCTGGCAGGCCACAGAGCACTGAAACAACTGAGGTGGGGTACGTTGTTCGAGAGTGACAGGAAGCCAGACGACTGATGTTCGTGTGTGCAGTCAATCAGGTTCCGAAGACAAATAACTAACTCAGAAGTCGATTTCCACGCCATAAATTGTTTCTAAAACGCTGAAGGCAAGTAGGCAGACTTTGTATTCACCCTGATCATCTGGGTAGTTCTCCCTTGGAGGACTAGCGATGGTCGCGCTCAGTTCTGACAGCGTGGAGGAAAGAAAAGGAACGCGAAATTCTCATCGGCTACAGGGCCTTCAGCTTTATCGAAGAAATTGAGCGCCCAACCGAAAAAGGAACGCAGCTCTAATCAATTAAAGGACTCCCAACTGAGAAGCAGATTTCTATGCTAAATATCATTTGCAAATGTCCTAAGGCACGTAGTCAACATAGGTAGATTTTTTTTGGCTTTGTTATCGAGCCGAATGATTTGGGTAGCGTGGCTTACGTCCCGACTTTATCTCCACAATGGGCATTTTGTATTTGCCATCCTGCTTTGGTAAAGAGGCTGGGATACTGCCTTATTCGTCGTGGGTTGAGCGGCCTACATTGTCCCATCTGTTCAGCACCCCCTCAGCGATTGCTATCGCACAATGTCTGGCCGATCTGGGTTCTTTCGGTTTTCCGAGAGACGGCATTCTTCTAAGCGTCCTGGCGGGCAACCCTTGACTCCTGCTCCCAACATCCAGATCACTCCTTCCCCCACTGCAAACGATGCAACCACTAACAAAGATCGTGATGGATCTGAGGGATCTCGTCTTCAACCTCCTACTGCGTCAACTGCTGGTGGTTCTCGAGGCCGGAAGCAGCGGAGGTCTGTTTGGCACGCTATAGCTGAGCGGTTCAGCAGAAGTCCCAGTCCCGATCCCACTCATATCGACCAATCGAAGTCCTCCGATCCTAGACAATCTGACCCCTCTACGCCCGATCCGCCATCCCCTAATCCATCGCCATCTCCCATTCTCCCCGAGGGGGCTATCGATATCTCTCACACGATGCCCAGCGAGCGCATCATCCACGGCAGCAGTGGGAGCCCCGTCACACAACCGGGACTCGCAGGCGCAGACCTGGGTATTCCATCGTCAATGGATCAAACGTCGTCATCTTCAGCCGTCCCTGCTGGTGACAGAAAGAAAACAATTATCGCCGCCACAAGGCTCGTCCTCCAAACTGCCACCTCTGCTCTTAAATTCGTCCCCATTCCAAACCTCGATCAGATACCAAGTATACTCCTGACCTGGCTCCAAGTTTACGAGGTTCGCAGGGCAATTGCAATTTTCCGATCTAATGATATAACTTTTATGTTTTCATGCAGACGATCGACAACAATGACGAAAATCTCAAGGGATTAGATGATGAAGTTCGAAAGGCTCACGAAACGATCTTCAGGCCACTCCTGTTGTGGACTGGCCAGGTTCCTCCCGAAATAGGTGATCTAATTCAACAATTTAACTTGTATGTGCATTTACTTGATCGCTCCGTCGTCCAAATCTCAACTCTTAGCCACAGAGCTGCAAAGCAACAATTGCAGCAAATTGAAGCACTCAAGCGTCAAAAACTTGCCAAGAGGGTAATCCTGGCGACTGAGATATCCCAGGAGACAAGCGCCGTGAGGTCCTGTATCCGTGATGCTATCGCCCGCTTTACGGTTCGTTTCGTTGGTGTTCTGACTGTCCGATGACTGATATACTTCATAGACCGCTGCGACAACTCTAAATCTCCTCCACACAATCCAGTCATCGGTAGACCGTTCGTTGTTTTTCCCTGATTTCACTGCTTGGAATTTAATGATATTTCAGGTGAGCTCTCGAAACTCTACAAAGCAAAGGCGGAATTCTCTGCGGTGGAAAGCAAGTCGGAATGCCTGGAAAACACCCGTGTCCGGATTCAGGAATCGATACTTGATCACTTGGAGAAACGGGAGCATCGATTTGTCTGGCTTCGCGGCTCTCCGGGAACTGGAAAGACCGCTATATCAATGAGTGTCGCGTCGACTCTTTATGAACAGAGTCGCTTGGCAGCATCTTTCTTCTGGGACAAAAATCGGAAGGGTGCAGGACTCGCTTCAATTGAACACTTTCCCTCTACTCTTGCACATCAGCTTGCCATGTTTAACACCGAGTACGAGGGTCTTCTTGTCAATCGACTCCGACAGCCTTCATCATTGAAGGGTGTTCCTGGCTCCGCTTTGGAGAAGCAAATGAGAGCTTGGATTATTGATCCCATGCACAAACTCTTATCTTTGGGTGAGGAGCGCTTCGTCATCATCTTGGATGGACTAGACGAGTGTGGGACTCAGGAGGAACTTACGTCCCTAATGAAGCTAGTACTTATCCTTGATGAGCTGCCTGCCGCATATGCTGTGTTGGTCAGCTGTCGGCCAGAGTCATCCGTTGTGTTGGCTTGGGTTAGAGCTCGAGCTCAGGGTCTTGCTATACCCTGTGAAGACGTGGACATTGTCGCTGAGGAAGAGAAGTTCCACACTATCCACCGCATGGTGGAGGAAGGCCTTCGGGATTGCATCGATAACTCTTCCTGGAAACCATCAAAAGAAGAACTCGATGCGTTTGTCTCAGCGTGTCGTGGATTGCCGATTATAGCCTCAATCCGAGTCCGGGATGTCTGCCTTCAAACTCATCGTGGTGCAACTCTTCAATCCGAGTTCGAATACTTTCGTGATCTCACCGAAGCCCCTGTTGATATCAATTTGGAGTACCTGCGTGTGCTTCGCCGTGCCTACATGGTCGGCTCATCTGGAGTCCGTAAACATATTGCTGAGAAGTATCGCCAAGTGGTTGCCACAATCAATGCGGCATTCAAGCCACTCAGTGTGTTTTTTATATCGCAGCTGTCAGGAATTGCCGAGGGAGAGGTTCTAGCCATATTGGATCCAATTCGTTCAATTGTTGATCTTTCTTCAGAAAGTGGCTTGGAACGTTTTTCGGAAGATCCTCCAGAAAATTCCTCTGAGATGCAGGGCGTCAAATTCTATCATGCAACGATGAAAGAGTTTATAACAGGGGATTCGATTGGTAGTGAGAATGACCAAGTATTCTTTGTCAAAGATGCGAACAAGTATTTCATCGGACTGTCACTCCTCCGATTTTTCAATAATAGTTGTGAGCAGGATGTGTTTGGGGAGCCCACCATTCTCCCTTTAGGAGATGAACAGACATGGGGAGATTTTTTGGAGAGAGAACGTCATCTCCCTCATCATCTCCGATATACTCGTCAATACTTATTAGAACACTTGGACCCCTCACAACTCTTTGCACAAGAGTCCAATTTGCAGAACGAGTTTAATACATTCCTCACACGAAACTTGGTTACATTTATGCACCTGGCATCATATGATGAACTTGGCATGAGATTCCTTGATGGATTTGAGGAATTCAAGGTAAATACAATCATTGTGTCGCGATTATTTTAATATGATGTCATTTTAAACAGAATTGTGATTCATTCAAACTTTTGAGAGAAGCTCAAGAAAAGGAATCAGTGTCGTATCTGAATATTACTTCCACAGCACCATGGGACCTCCATCGATCGACCCTTCCTTTCACCCCATCCTCATCACCTTTTCACGAACTGTATAGCCACCTCTCCGATCCAGTTCGGATCTTCACTACTTCCGGCAAGTTTTCTGGGCACAGAATCCCATTAAGTGAGAATTTACTCAATGCTCGAATGGTCATGGAGGCGAAGCAACCTAATTTGCCAAAGAAGGCTAATAATAACAGTCAGGTTGTTGAGGTTGATTACGGTGCCCAATTCAATGACCCTGATGTTCGTAACGGTATTGTGACATGTGCAGCACTCTCCCTCGATGGTTGTCATATAGCTCTCGGTTTTGGTAGTGGTGTCATCGAGCTTGCCGATATCGACCTTCAACGCACGATTTCCCGACTCCGCCTCGATCCACCCAACCACCCAGTCTGGATTGAATTTGTTCATGGTAGACACCGAGTTGCTGCCGAGGACAATGAGGGGAACGTCACCATCCTTAGCCATGATATGGCCTTTGTTAATCTTGGTACTCTTCCCAACAATCCTGCTGTAACTCGAGTATCAGATAACGGATTGTTTATCATACGAGTCCCATGGAACACTGATAACTCGTGGTATGACAACATGACTCTCATATCTATTCTGGACAATCCACACATGCAGCTCCTCGCTTCTCCTCCTTCCCAAGCAGATGATTCTCCTCGCCACGACACGCTTGCTATTCCTCACCGTCGCACGCTCAGGTTTTCTCCAGGAGCACGTTATATCGGGGCTTTCGATGGCCTCAGCGCCTTCACCTGGTCGACAGACTCGGGTGAGCTCATTGCACATTATCGTGTAACGGATTTCAAGTTTTGGATTATGAATCCCACTGTTCCCCCTGCCTGCGGTTATCGCATCCCCAATCCTATATCCACTCAACCCACCCTTTCCTTGACAGAAGGTGGCACAGCAGATATACATCATTCCGAAACAGATGCGGAGCATAACTTGGACGAGTCCTGGATTAAGTGTCCATTTTATGTTCTCTCGCAAAGCAAGGAGGAAGAGGAGGAGGAGATGTGGCATAGGTCTGACATCCATTCAACTGCTGCAGGAAGAACCCCGTTGTTTGGAACCAGTGAACGACGTGTGGGGCTGCCAGTGTACTTCAATGGCAAATTAGAACTCGTTATTCCCAAGGAGTATCGACCAATTATTTCTTCTGGTGCCGAAGGTCTAGGTGCTTGGTATGGTGATCAAGTGCCGTCTGATCCTACCTTTCTGTACAGCCCTCGGTCCAGCAAAGATGGGACTCGAATCCTTCTCCAAGGC